CATGATGGATTCCTTTGCCCAACTATGACAAGTCCAAATAAATCAAGTGGTTTTCACGTGTAATCGGCTGGAATCATTAGACCAGCACGAACAGTCAGGGTACCGATAGCAGCGGGCGGTTTTGGCTGTGTCTCTGCCGTCTATCAGACCGTCATTGGACCCCTGAAAGTCCAGGAAACAGCTGCCATTCGCTGTCAGTGCCCCTGTTGCACAAATCCCCACTGAAGTCCCGCCCCCTGCAGGCCTGGACTGTCAGCAGCCACACTCCAAGTATCCACAGCTTCAAAGTAAAGAAGATGGCATCCAGCCGGGGAAAATGACTTGGTCTAAGCCTTAACAGAAAGTTGGAATTCCTGCAGAACCCCCAAGGAAACATGGGGTAGACCACTTGGATGGAGAAATCCCTTAAATGTTTTCTTTAATTTTTTCTGTGGCCAAGTATCAGTGTTCAGCAGTGACTCCTACAGACGCCTCTAATTCGTGTTACAAACCACAAGATCAAGGAGTTCGTGCCACTTTAGCATCCGGCATTTTGGGTAAAATACTGAGTAATTTGCAAAACCCACACTCTGCTGCTGGCTCCGTGACCTTTGCCAAGTACCTCATCTCATCGTCCTGGGCCTTGATTTCTGCAACATAAAATGGGAACATAGTTCCTATTCTGTTGATGGCCCGGGGATCCGGTGCTCGAAGATGAGCTACATGAAAATATGGAATATTAGAGAAACTTGAAATGTTCCTGAACAAGGCACTAATGCATGATGGGAGCTCAGGAAAACATTACCTGTGGAGGGTTTGTTCAACAGGCTTCTTTGTGACATGCACTCTTCTCTCTCCCTCCCTGCTAAGATCTGTGATTGTGGATCTTAGGGCCAGATATTTTAAAAGGTAGAAGCAATGTAAATGTCCATGTTTTCCTGGTTTCCGAGTAGGCTTGGAAGCAAGCTTTTAAAGAATATACCCACGTTTTAATTGGGCAAGTACCTGGATTATTAGAGTCTTGCCCTGTGATTCTACTCACTGAGTTATGTTTGCTCCCAAGGGAGGTGTGTGCATGTGTGTTTTATCCTGGAACTAGGAAGGAGCAACCTTCAGTAAATTCAACCTAGGTAAGACCCTGGGTGTTGGCTTATGAGCCAGACCTTGAGTGCGAGGCATCAGATAACAAGGCCACTCTGCCCTCCCTGTGCACTGTAAAAGGTGACAGTGGCCTTACCAAGCCTTGTATTTGGAAGAACCTGTTTCGGGATACAACCATCAGCCTATTGAAAACACAGAGGCTGCCTCCCAAGGCCCATCGTGGATGCCAGGAACTGCAGAGTACCAAGCCCAGTACATACTGTTCGTGCCTATGTATATATGATGAGATTTAATGTTAGAAACTGGGCGCAGGAAGAGATTAACAACAATAACTAATTCGAGATCTTGGCCGTCTCAGCACACCATTTTTTTCTTTCCTTATCGAGTCCAGAACTTTACCTTTTCACTTAGAGGAGGCACTTTGGGGCTCCTCTCTGGCAGAGCTGAATTGCCAGCGCCACTTCTCCTGTGCTTTGGGACCACTATTGGGTAAAACAAGGGTCACTCGAGCACTAGCCGTGCAAAACCACGCCAGTCAATCTGATAACCGAGCAGGCTACCCAGTGAGTGGCAGGCGGGTAGCGTATACTGCGTGAACACACGGCCGAGACGGGGGTGCACGACCTGGGCAGGGCAGAGTGGGGCAGCTCCAGGTGCCCTCCTGCCGCTTAGAGCGACAACGCGCAACTTAAAATTGGTGAATCGTTTTCGGAATTTCTCGCTTACCGTTTATCAGAGCTCAGTGGACCGAGGGTAACTGAAACTGTGGGTGGGAAACAAGACAAAAGAGAGAACAGAGGGGACCGCGGCCCTCAGAACTTGCTGTCATCATCTCCTTGGCTCTGAGGACATCTCTTCCAAGGAGGTGAACGAGAAAGGTGAATGGCAAAACGGTTCAGAAAGTGGCGCAGCCAAATGAAGATCTGCTGGCCCGGGGATCGCCGAGCCTGTCATGAACCCGGCCCCGCCGCACCCTGGCCAGCATCACTGGCCCTTCTGGGTGTTGTCAGGCTCCAGGTGGCCCCCACTGTAAAACCCAAATAGCTTCTCTGTGAGTTTTTGTAAAGCAGCACCTTGGTGCCGAATCCAATGTGCGATCGCCAGGCAGGGGTGCTCTGCGGCTTTCGCAGCCCTTGTCCCTCAAAGCGCGACCTAAGGGGGACGGGCGTTCCGCAGAGCCCTGTGCCAGTGTGGGGGCCGTGGGCTCGCACCGGGTTGTCCGGCCAGTGCTCCAAGGACCAAGCTCTCGGACTGCCAATCTTAGGAAACACTCTCTCGATTTTCTGATGGGGGAGTCCAGCGGATACTCTTCCTCGCTGAGCCCTGGAAAAGCCCAACTTGAGCGAATGCTGTGTCTCCGCTGTGTCGCGCGGGGCTGGGCAGTGCCGTCCCCTGCGAGATGAGGAGTAACCACAGGCACCCCCCCTCCAAAGCTGGGCTCCCCGAGTGCTCTTCAGCCCCGCCCAGAGGCCCCTCCTCCCTATACATCTTCAAAGCCTGCAGTACCCTGAAGTCACAGACTGCAAACTCTAGTTTCTTTCCCGGTCCTGGCTCCCTCCCGACCCTGCCCTTTGAAAAGATTTCTCCGCCAAGTGCCTGAAGCTGGCTGTGTTGAAAATGTTCCTACTGAGGCAGGGCGTGGGGGCGACCCTCGGGAAACCTCTGGAAGCAGCCCACTTGTGTGGGCTGCAGCAAGAGGCCGGTGCGCCCACTTCTGAGAAAAGCCTTTGATGTGCCTGGGTGGCACCACACTGAGAAGTGGGGCTCCCTGGACTCGATTTTAGGGGTAGTGTTTGTAGCATGTTAGGAGGTCAAAGTTGACTTTTTTTTTTTCCTTCTGGTAAACTTAATTTCCATTTTTGCTCTCTGAGCAGTAAATTTGTACAGGAACCCAGGAACCATTGAGTCCATAGGATTTTGTATCATTATATATAGCTTGGCTGAGCTAGTGGCAGCTACGTAAATACCTTCCGAACACTGCCACGTTTGGGCACATATGTTACACGTACATATAAACATGCCATGTAATATATGCACTCTTTCCCCCTCTCTGGGTGTTTCTGATTTTTTTCCAACCTTGTCTCTACTGGGAAAAGGCTCACATTACATTAAAGTGTTAGTAAGATTGCTGGTATGGCGTCCAGTCTAGTAGTGCATTGGTCTCAAATAGATGACCATTTCCAAGTTCAAGCCATTATGGGCTACTCCAAGGAGTTTTCCTAGCCCTAGATTTTGTTGTTTAAGAAATCTAGCAAAATACCCAGGAAAGACGCAAGCAAAAGCAAACCCCAGGGCCTTCGCTGACCCCTGCTGGGCCACTTTCAGAATTGGGAGCCGCTGTCTTCTGGTGACTGGACCTCTGCAGGACGTGGTGTGACACGGTCGGAACTGGGGCGAGCAGGAGCAGCGGTGAGAAGCTCGCCACCCTGGAACCCCGGCTTCTGATGGCTCCAGCCCAGGCAAAGAACAGGGCTGCTGGCACCACCAGAAAGGCATTCCTGGGAGCCAGAGAGAGGCCAGAGCTAGAGGCTGCGTCACTTTGTGTCTTCAGCAGGCACCTTGCAGAGAGGAGGGCGAGGTGGCTTATTCCTGCAGAAGCTGGGTTTTCCTGGCTGACCTTCCCTGTGGCTTTGCCAGGCTTGGCGATGCCATGCAGAGCCAGGTTACACCTGCCGCCTCCCCATGGCCCCTCCTAGGCTTCCCACGAAAGGTCACGATTTAAAAGTCCCGAAAACAGGGCAAAGGGAGACTCTTAGTAAGCAGGAGCAGGATTGTCCCAGAACCAACATTAGGAGTAGGTCACATACCAAGTGCGTTTCATCGCGACGCTCCTAAGCGCTGTCAGTCCTGCCCTGCTGTGTCTGGGTTCTGTGCTAGTCCGGCCCAGCCTCTGACACAGTGCGTCTCCACCTGTGCGCTTCTCCGCTGTTCCCTCTTTGTCAGCATTTCCTGTGTCTCTTCCTCTCCTTTTAGAACCAAATTCCAATCATCCTGAGGACTTAACCATTTGTCAACTATGAAACTGTATGGTGGGTGGTGGCCACTGCTGAATATTCATGTGTATACCATGAATTTATGATGGGGTTACGCTCCCTGTACACCCACGGTGAGCTGAGAATTTCCTAAGTCGAGGGAGCGTTTAGTAACCCTAACTCCCAGAGCGTCGCTTAGTCTTGCCTGCCTTGAGTGTGGTCGGAGCACTTGCAGTAGCCTAGAGTTGGGCAAAATCATAATGCAAAGCCCGTTTATGATAAAGCACTGATGATCTCAGGCAATCGCTTGAAAATTGAAAGCGAAAATCAGAATGGTTGTATGTGTGAGTTTTAACACTTTCATCAAGTGGAAAAATCCCCAGTCGAACCAGGGATCATCTGTATTTATTTGCTGTGTGTAGTTAATTATGTCTGTTAGTTAAAGGTAAATACCATACAAAATACTACAGATCACTTGACTTTGGCATTTGAACTTTGCAAAAGCAAAACATCAGAAAGACCCACATTCTACCAAATGAGAACTTCAAACCAGTTCCCAAGGAACCCTGTTTTCATGCCTCTGTACTGCAGGTGGGGAAAGGAGAGTCACCTTTTTTTTTTTTTTTTAATTTTATTTATTTGAAAGAGTCAAAGAGAGAGTTAGAGACAGAGAGAGAGGTCTTCCATCCACAGTTCACTCCCCAGATGGCCGCAATGGCCGGAGCTGCGCCATTCCGAATTAGGAGCCGGGAGCTTCCTCCGGGTCTAAGGGAGAGCTGTCATTAAAGAGAGCATTCAGAAGGGCTGTGCACAGTGCGGAGCGGGGTCGTTGGCGCGGCACCTGGGCCCGAGCGGGGGGCTCAGCGCTCACGGCCTGAGCAGCCACCCGGTCCCGGCCAGTGAAGGGCTGTGCTGAGATCTAACGGTTGCTCTTGGGGTTGCTTGCAGATGACCACTCCAGGATCCTGCTGAAGTCCGAAAACAGCCACAGCAACTCGGACTACATCAACGCCAGCCCCATCGTAAGTACCTCCCCTGAGGTCGCCTCTGGGCTTTTTCCCCCAGCGTAGATGTGACCCAACCCCGGCTGTGGAGCGTGAGCTGGTGGCTGGTTTGGACCAGGTAGACTGGGCTGGTGCCGGCCCCACCCAGGCCTCCTGAGCTGTCCAGACACCCCCTGCAGCGGGCAGGGGCTGTTCTGTAAGTACAGTGGACCTAGTGCTCAGATTGGGCAGTAGGTCCAGCGTCCTGTAGAGCGTCCAGCAGTGGTAACTTGACAGCGTACTGACTAGAACCCGAGACTTTCAGCTAAACTTGAGTCAGCGGTGGTCTCCTTCGCCCAGCCACTGATTTCCTGTTTGCTTGGAGGAGTTGGAAACATCAGACCCAAACCTGCCTCTTTTTAAAACAAGCGGTGACACTGAGGCAGGCTCAGAATTGCAGGTTCATTTCCACTTGGTTTTTGCCTGTGGGTAAGATCCTACCTTAAAAACAAAACAGCAGGTGCTGGGGGGCTGTGCCTCTCCCAGGGGCTGTCATGTCAGAAGAGTGGGGGAGCTGGGGAGAGTTTTCCATTTCCAAAGGCAGCCGCGCAGCAGCTTCCCCGGCACCATGAGGCATGAGATCCCCAGGACCAAGAAACTCGGAACTTCTGGATGACTCCTTAGCAGCCCTGGCGCCACCTGAGTACTCTCCTGTCCTGAGCCTTAGGCTTGCAGGGGACTGAAGAGGGTAAAGTCAGAGCTGGCCGAAGGGGGGCTCCCAGGCCAGGATCCCATGAGCACTCAGGCTGACTTTCCAGAGTTAGAATGGTGGCAGGTGGGAGAGTGAAGTCAAACTAAGGCAGGACTTTTTTCTAAAGTCCAACTATAGTTGATGCTTTTATATATTTTTAAAGATTTATTTATTTTATTTGAAAGGCAGAATTACAGAGAGGCAGGGGCAGAGAGAGAGAGAGAGAGAGAGAGGTCTTCCATCCACTGGTTCACTCCCCAGATGGCCACAATGGCCGGAGCTGAGCTGGTCCGAAACCAGGAGCCAGGAGCTTCTTCCGAGTCTCCCACGCAGGTGCAGAGGCCCAAGCACTTGGGCCATTCTCCACTGCGTCCTAGGTGCATTAGCAGGGAGCTGGATCAGAAGCAGAGCAGCTAGGGCTCAAGCAGGTGCCCACATGGGATGCCGGCACTGCAGGGGGCAGCTTTGCTGGCTGTGCCACAGCACCGGCCCCTGATGGCGTTTTCAAACCAATGGCAAAGAGGGAGAGGTGTTAGTGATGGTGTTCCCCCTCCCCCACTTTAAACAGAGTTTCTCAGTTTTGGTCTTCAAGGAGGCATCAGGGCATCTCACTGAAATTCCAGATTTGCGTGCAGCCTGCAGGATGAAGGGTTTAAGGACAGTGGTGGTGCCGAGGACTGAGAGAGAGCGGGCCTTCTCCCGGGGCGCAGGCGCACTGCACAGCGGCCTCCGCTCCCTTTCGACTCCTTTAAGAGAAAGCTTCGGGTGAGAACATTGGTGTGTCTGATCGCTAACAGTAGCTGCTCGTAGGCCTGTTTGTTGGACTACAAGGCTGTTTATTTCAGTGCCCCCTTTGGGATAAAGCGGATTGCTAAGACTCCCCGGTGCTGTGGGCCCATTCCATTTTCTGACGTTTCACATTCCAGAAGTGAATTCAGAGTAAAGCACTTGCACCTCCCGGAGCCCCTGCCTTGTGTTTATGTGTTCATGTTTTCAAAAGAAATAACTCCTTTATGTCCAGGAGAGGTAGACTTCAAAGACTGGTTCTGTCTGTGTTTCAAAGGTTCTCATTTGGAACCAATTAGTCTTTCTCAAGAAGATTAACTAAAAGAGAGAAAGAGAGAAAGAAAGAGAGAGAGAAAGAGAGAAGGAAAGAGAGAAGGAGAGAGAGGAGAGAAAGAAAGAGAGAAAGGAGAGAGAGAAAGGAGAGAGAGAAAGGAGAGAGAGAAAGGAGAGAGAGAAAGAAAGAAAAGATCTACCAGTCTCATATTGAGGACGGAGCATCACTTCTAGTGATGTTAGGTTTTGTGAGGGCCTGGATTTGCTTGCTACGTGGTGGGCAGTATCGGTGGCCAGTGCAAAGAGACAGAAGAAACACTCCTCTGGTTCCTTTTCCCTGGAACAAATCGTTTTGTGAGACCAGAATGAGGAGAAACAAAGCCATCATCTTGAAGTTCAGTGTTACGGCCTGGTCCAACTCCCGTCCCCACCCCACTCCTTTCCGGGTTCCAGCTTCTGATGTCTGGGCTGTGCCAACCTGAAGTCCAGTCTCAGTATGAGCATCCGTGTACGACGTAGAAGCTGTGTCGTCGGCAGAAGCCTTCCACAGCTTTTGTGTGCACACGGGCTCTCGAGGGTGTCTGGACACGCCGGGGAGGGCGCGAATTCCCACACTTCTCTCTTCCATTAGTGGAAATTCACAGCCACCTCCCCAGGCCTTGCAGGCCAGGAACTCAGGTCAGAAGGTGGCTCCAGGAGAGAGAAGCAATTTTACAGTACCTTTTATGCTTTTCCATTATTTCATACCCCAGTTGTGTTTTTTTTTTTTCCTTCCAAATTTGGATTGTAAGAATGAACTACAGGAAATCCGCATTGCCTCTTGTCTGTGGAATAACTGAAGATACAATGCTAATGGCCTTCCTAGCAGCCATTGAGTGAAAAGCTCACAATTATAGCACAAGAAGACCCTGGCTGTGCGGAATAAAGCTATGATAATTACATCTGTCATATTTGTACTTAGTCCTCATTAAATTTCAGGGAAGTCATCCAATAGTAAATAATGTGCAATCTTCGCTTTTAAATCAGAGGTCGTGGATGTAAATGGGAATTCTGTTTCCCTGCACAGGGTGTCAGAGAGAAGCCCATCAGCTACATTTAAAGCTCAGCTTGGTTATTACCAAGGATGCCACACGGGGCATTGCCCAGACACAACACACGAGTCTTATCCCGAGGAACAAGTCTGAAATTCCCCATGACACTTAACAGTGAGCTTAATCCTTCATTCCTCTGTGTATGGAGGAAGAAAGCATTGGTTAAGGCTTCCATTCGGAATGCATCAAACTAATTTAAGCAGGGACAGGCCGACTCCTAAGACAGTCTTGACAGCCTATGCATCCTGCCTAGCCTAAGAAACTGGCCAGCAAGGGGAGCCAGTTCTTTGGTTCTCAGAAAATGTGTATAACCAAACACCGGTGTGTTTATTTGCGCTTTCTATTCGGTCAATCTCAGCCCATAACAATACCTTGTAGAGGTGGGGGCCAGCATGGCGGGGCAGCAGGGGCTGCTCGGAACACGGAGTGTTGGTTCAAGTCCCGCTGCTCTGCTTCCAATACGGCTCCCAGCTAATGTGGCTGGGAAGGCAGTGGAAGATGGCCCAAGTGCCTGGGCCCCTGCCACCTGTGTGGGAGACTCACATGGAGTGCTAGGCTCTGGGCTTCAACCTGGCCCAGCCTACGTTGGCAGCCATTTGGGGTGTGAGCCAGTGGATGGGAGATCTCTCTCATGTGTGTGCCCGCTGTCTGCCTCCCCTCCCCTCTGTCACTCTGCCTTCCAAGTAAATAAATAAACCTTTTCCTGAAAGAAAGAAGGGGGAGGGAAGGAGGGAGGGAGGAAGGAAGAAAGATAGATTTATCAAATAAATAGGTTTATAAGCCAGTCTCTCTCCTGTTGATTACCAAAACTACAATTTCCCAATAAATTCTCATATTAAGACTCGGTATCTAGAAAATGATTTGACAACTCAAATAAAATCAGATTTATGTATCTATCTGAAAGGCAGAGTAACAGAGCGGAGGAGAGAGAGATTTTCCACCTGCTGGTTCACTCCCCAGATGCCCCCAACGGCCAGGGCAAAGCCAAATCAAAGCCAGGAGGCAGGAGCCCCTTCCAGGTCTCCCACAGCAGGGCCCGGAACCCGAGTGCTTGAGCCGTCATCTGCTCCCTCCCAGGACGCAGTAGCAGCAAGCCAGATCAGAGGCATGGAGTAGCCAGAATTCAAACCAAGCATTCTCATAGGGGAGGTGGCTTAACCCACCGCACCCCAATGCCAGCCCCTAAAATTGTTTTAAAGGTTGGAAAATGTAGAAGTTGATAGACAGAAATGCAGACAGGTAACACACACAGTCGCTCTCTGTGTAAGACGTCAGAGTAACCGATGTGACCCCCAGATGTTCCCTGAGCCAGGGTTGGTTTGGAGCAGAAACTCGTTCCCCGCCCACCTGCCCACCTGCCCACCTGCCCACCTGCGGGGCCCTGGGGCATCACTGGGCTGCAGCTGGTCAAGCCTTTGGGTCTTGATGTGCTGAGTGTTTCCTTTTTTTTTTTTTTTTTTTTGACAGGCAGAGTGGACAGTGTGAGAGAGAGACACAGAGAAAGGTCTTCCTTTGCCGTTGGTTCACCCTCCAATGGCCGCTGCGGCCGGCGCACCGCGCTGATCCGAAGGCAGGAGCCAGGTACTTCTCCTGGTCTCCCATGGGGTGCAGGGCCCAAGCACTTGGGCCATCCTCCACTGCACTCCCTGGCCACAGCAGAGAGCTGGCCTGGAAGAGGGGCAACCGGGACAGAATCCGGCGCCCCGACCGGGACTAGAACCCGGTGTGCCGGCGCCGCTAGGCGGAGGATTAGCCTGTTGAGCCGCGGGGCCAGCCTGAATGTTTCATTTTGCAAATCGATTTATTGGAGGAAATTATTGCTAAGGTTTTTTTTAATGCAAATTAGAGTTCCTAAAAAATACGTCAGCCACTCCTGCTTATTTAATAATTGCCGTCCCATAGCTTAAGGCAGAGTGTTGGCTTATTTTTTGCCATGCGTTTAGAAAGACGTAAGAATAGACCATGCTTGTATCCAGCTTCGTTTGATGTCTCCCTAGAAATCAGCCCACTAAGGGATAATACATTCAGCACAAGCAAGGGGTCTCTCTTTATGTGAAAAAAGCAGCTTAATAAAACCATGCCACCGTGTTACCCCTTCAAATGCCCCGCTGCTCAGTAACACTGGAAAGCACATAAACTGGGCGCTCACCTGTTCAGAGTTCTTCCTTCTTACGCAGGTCCCGATCAGGAGAATATAGGCTGGTGCTACCAGTCCTGGGGCCACCCAACAGCCGGGTGCTTCCCTTATTAAATGTACAGGTTGTCAGGGTTACAGCCAGAGCGCTCACACACACACATGTAAGCATAGAGGAGTCTGCACATAGAATTCCAGGGCTAAGGGGCCCTTCGACGTCCTATTGTCCATCGTCCCTGCTCCCCAGCCATCCTCACGTTCAAGACACTGAGACTGAGGCCCAGAGACTTGAGCTGACTTCCTCCGTGGGCGTGCTGTTCCTGGAGTCCGAGACTAATAACACAGTCCTACAACTAGACGCTGCACGACAAAGACGTGGCAAACAAGGAGAAAGGAGGAGGGGAGGATGAAGTGCAAGGAGCAGAGGAAGCCGGGGTTTATCACCAAACGGGGAAGCCAGATGCATTTGCCAAGCAGGTGCTCCTCCTGTCGGACAAGGTGTAGTGTCCGTGGAAACTTAGGTGTGGGAGGAGCCTTCAGGAAGTTCATGGAAAACACGTAGTGTGAAGATGCAAATCATGAAAAAAAATCACGCGTGGGTTTCAAATGTTTTGCACCAAAATAAACTTAGCTTTTCAGCCCGTGAACTTTTTGAAGCACCCACGTATGCTTCTCCTGCCTTGAAAACCTTAAATCGTGTAACACTGCTCAGCTGAACGCTCGCGTTAGTTGTTTTCAGTAGAGATTGTATAAAGCCGGGATAGGGCTCTCTGTTCCCTTAGAGCGGCTACGTGTACAGAGTGCTCCTGTCCAGGCTTGTTCCCTGTTCCACCGAGTGTGCCTAGAATGAAATAATTGTGATTGTCTTCTGAAGTATTGTTAAACTGATGACACATCTCCCCCACCGTGTGATCACTGTGCTATTTGCCGCCTGCCCAGTGGCAGCCACGTGAGCGCCGTGGAGCGCGGCGGGGGCGCTACCGCTGTCAGTGTCTCCTCCCTCGTGGCTTGCCTTCGTGGCTTCTGTCTTGGGCACCTGAGCGGGTGATGGGCTTCAGGCGTTTGAAACGTGGAACAGCGGAGACCTAGCACGAAAGTTGCCTTGCTGATCCTCCCGAAACTCCGCCCACTGCTTCACCTTAAATCACGTATGCCGTATTTTGGAAGCAACCAGATGTGCCAGTTCGTACACGCGAGGCTTTGTAAGATGTGTCACTGTCTAAGCCGCTTGGGTGAAAAAACACGTTGCAGAAGGAGGTGGGGTTTTCTCCCTGCTGCACGGCTACGTGCGGGGAAGAGACGGGGTCTCCGTAAATAGCTGTCACCCCCGACAAATGCACATTTCAGAAAAATCAAAACTTATTTCTGCTAAGCGTTTACCCACTGAAACATTTTAATTGGGGCTTTCAGCGAGAGTAACATAATTTTACCTGTATTGTGTGTGTTGTGGTGGATTTCAAAACGAGGTCCGGTTTTAATTATGAATCACTAAATTAGATGCACAAAAAGCTTTTCTCGCTGGCTCCCCACCCCCCCCCAGCCCCCGGCTAGCGTCATTTTGTTGTTCTGTTAGAATAACTTACATCTGTTCCTTTATGTGTCTCCCCTCTTTTATGGCGCACATAATTATAAGGTGCACTTGATGCATTCTTTCATGCTGACAGCCGTCATTGTGGAGAGTGCTGATGGGCTGTGCGCAGATTCACCGGGGGTCGCCGGGAGAGGGGTGCTGCCTGCAGGCAGAGCTGAGCTTTAAGGTGGCACCGGCATTTCCCACCGATGTCCTCACGTGTTGACTCAGAGCCGCACAGCTTTCTCAGAAAATGTATCCTTAATCATCATCTGTGAAGACTGAGCATTTTAAATTTTACATCAAACTCTGACCTCAAAGGAGTAAACTCCAGTTCTAGACACGCAAGGATATAGATCTGAGGAGTAGTCAGCCGTCTTGCCCAAAGGTGAGGTTCCACCAGCGGAGCCTCATGCTGTCTCCTGTCTCCTGGGAGGTAGGGGAGTGGGGCTCAGTCCTGGGGATGGGAATGATGGCCAGATGTCGCCTGTGCTTTGGCGAGGTGGCCAGGACTGACCACTGGGGCTCAGAGCCCTGTCTGTCTGTCTTCCTCAATGTGCCTTAATACTGTTTGTTTCTCTGGGCTTTGTTCTCATTTTCCATTTTTTTTTTAAGTATTTGAAAAGCAGAGAGAGAGAGAGAGAGAGAGAGGTCTTTCATCCACTGGTTTATTCCCCAGATATCAGCAACAGCCAAGCTGGGCCGATCTGAAGCCAGGAGCCGGGAACTCCACCCAGATCTCCCATGCAGGTGGCAGGGGCCCAAGCACTTGAGCCAGCAGCTCTTGCCTCCCAGCGTGTGCATCAGCAGGAAGCTGGATTGGAAGCTGAGCTAGGACTCCATCCCAGGCACTCCAGTATGCGTTGCAGGTGTCCCCAAGGGGTGGCTTAGCTCACTGCACCACTACCCCTGCCTCTCGTGTTCCTTTTCAGTAGTCATTCCTTGGATTCCATGCTGTAATGAAGGTCTTTTAAGCCGCACTCGCCCTGTTGGAGTTAGCAGGATGCCAGCCAACAAATCAGCCGGCCAGAAAGCCCACAGTTGCATTCTTCTTTGTGAGAAACGGAACAGAAAATGAGTTCCTGGGAAGTACCTGCCACCCTGGGCTTCAGCCAGGCCCAGACAACTGTCTTTGCCTGGGCTCTCTTCTCCCAGTAAATGAACACAAGCCCCTACATGAGATGAGCTCACTGTTCTGGGGACCCAGGAGGCAGATTGGTCCACAGGGCCCTTACTCCTAAGAGCTAACGTTTGTCGCCTCTCTAGCCCAGCACCCACAGTGCCAAGACGTGGGCTCGTTATTCCAAACACAGCTCCTAGCCTGGGGTGGGCTTGGAAGTTGCCTGCAACGGCACCGTGGCTGTGCTGTGCTGGAATCGCCTGCAACCTTGGCAGTGCGGTCCACCCGGCTGCATCTGTTAAGTGGGCTGATTGATGCTTGCTGTCGGCTCTCACGGGGCTCCTGGTCTTCGTCTCTGTAGAAGCTGCTCTTCCGACCTCCACATCAGGTGTAAGAAGCATCTTAGATGTGTTCGCCCTGGCTCACGATTCTGCCTGTGCCTGGGTGCTCACTTGCATCGGTGAAGGCGAGGAAGCTGAGGGGCCCTGGGGTTGTGACCCCGTGGCAGGAGCTGCTGATGCAGGGTGCACAGCCCTCACGCCCCCCTGAGGTCCAGCGTGACTTCCTAACTCAGTCCCTGTGCGGTTATCTTGTCTCTGCAGATGGATCACGACCCAAGGAATCCTGCCTATATCGCCACCCAAGGACCACTTCCCGCTACCGTGGCCGACTTCTGGCAGGTGAATCTCTCTTATGAAGTTTTCTTTCTGCAAATAAGTTCTCAGTAAGTTGGTCATGAGTCATGCCGTAAGCTTGATTAAGCCGGTTCAAACTTGCTTACAGGTATTCCTCAAACGTTACTTGATTTCAGAGTTTATAATATTTTTTTATTATACCCAAAACTTGAATATGAAAAATTCCTCTTGCGAGATCAATGTTTTGCAGATCTTACGTGTTAGCCGTTTTATAGTTTGATTTTATAAAATATAAAGTAGTGAATCAATAAATGTTTAAATTATTACATTTTATTCAGATGGAGCTCTAATCTATTTTTTTGTTGTTATGAAGTTTAAAAAAAATGGCGCTCAAATCACAGTTTGGCTTCTTTGTGGATTCTCTGTAATGTGTTTGAGAGGCCAGGCTCACCCAGCATGTTCAGTGTGAACTCCAGTCGCCTGGGCTGAGACGGGGCGTTGAGAACCTGTGCTAACACTAGCTGTTAAGAGGGACTTGCAGAGGCCGGCACTGTGGCTCACTAAGCTAATCCTCCGCCTTGCGGTGCCGGCACACCGGGTTCTAGTCCCGGCCGGGCCGCCGGATTCTGTCCCGGTTGCCCCTCTTCCAGGCCAGCTCTCTGCTGTGGCCAGGGAGTGCAGCGGAGGATGGCCCAAGTGCTTGGGCCCTGCACCCCATGGGAGACCAGGAGAAGCACCTGGCTCCTGGCTTCGGATCAGCGCGGTGCACCGGCCGCAGCGGCCATTGGAGGGTGAACCAACGGCAAAGGAAGACCTTTCTCTCTGTCTCTCTCTCTCACTGTCCACTCTGCCTGTCAAAAAAAAAAGGGGGGGGACTTGCGGAAGGCCAGTGGATTTTTCCCCTCTCCACCTCCCCCACTGTCCCCTCCCCAGTCATCCACCACGCGGCCAAGCGAAATAGAAATGGCGTTTGTTTGCAAAGAGGCCCCATGCCCTGTCTGCGGGAGTGCACGCTTCTGTTGAGCCACAGCAGTGAACAGCAGTGAGCTCCTCCTAGGTGACGGCTGTGCCCAGCGCCGGATGTGAGCACTGAGCGTGTGGCCGCCTGTCTCAGCCAGCAGTGCCAGTCACCAAGGCCCAGCGGCAGGCATTTCTGGATCCCTCAGGATGGGGCTGGCGGGGCTGGTGATGCCTACGAGTAAATGGAGTAACTGGGGGACGTTCACTGAATTCACCTGTACTCCTGTTTCTATTCCTTGTCACCTTACGCTCCCTCCTCGACCTGCCCTCTACCTAACGGGGCGGGGGGGAGGGAGACATCCCTCTGTCTTCCCTGGAGAATATTCTCTGCAGGGGTTTTCAGAAAAAAAAATTAGGAAGACCAGGATTGGCAGAAGATCTGTTAAGTCTCCCGTGCCTATCCACGGTTGCCACACTCTCGGATTCATCCGACTGTGAATCAAAATACTTGAAAAAAAAAAACCTGCATCTGTTCTGAATATGATTGATTGATTGATTGATTGGGAAGTCAGAGTTACAGAGAGAGAGGGAGAGGCAGAAAGAGAGAGAGGTCTTCCATCTGCTGGTTCAGCCCCAAATGGCCAAAGCCAGGATCCAGGAGTTTCTTCCAGGTCTCCCACTTGGGTGCAGGGGCCCAAGCACTTCGGCCATCTTTTGCAGCTTTCCCAGGCGCATTAGCAGGGAGCTGGATTGGAAGTGGAGCAGCTAAGACAGGAACTGGTGCCCATATGGGATGCCAGCGTCACAGGCAGCGGATTTACTCCCTGTTCCACAATGCTGGCCCTGAGACTTTCTTGTCATCATATTCCATAAAGAATATAGTTTGGCAGCCATTTGTATAGCATTTTCATTGTCTGGCGTGTTACAAGTAATAGGAAGATAATTTGAAGTATATGGGGGAATAGGTGTAGGTCATGTGCAAATATGTCATGTTATATGAGGAACTCCTAGGAGCATCTGTGGGTTTCGGCATCCTTGTGGGGTCCAGGAACCAATCCCCCATGGATACTGTGGACCAGCTTTGATCATGTTAATAATCAAGCATCAGCATCCCATTTTATGGGCAAGGCAGGTGAGTGTCTGTGAGACTCCCTGATCGACCCAGGTCACCAAGGATGAAGCCAGGACTTAAAATGTGCTCATAGGACCACTTCTGGCATCTCTGTGCCTCCATCTTCACTACTGGAAAATCCTAAAAATGGATCTCTGCTGCCTCGCTGATTCACGATCGTCGCCTGGGACCACGAACCGTTGGCCGCAGGATGGTTTTGAAGACTCTGATCCCACCACCTTGCGTTCCCCCCGTGTTGTACCCACGGAGAGTCTCCAGCCCGAGGGGGAGCACCTGCCGTCACGAGGAGGCAGCACCCCGAGTGCCACACCATCGTGGGACAACTTCCCATGCTAGGACGTCCTTTCTCGCATCACGCAAGGAAAGGCTCCTCCTGAAGTGTGCACTTGGGCCACCCGCCCTGGCCGTACTCCACAAGTTGAACCCACGTCCGTTCAGTGCCGCTCACTGCCCTGCACGCTCACCCCGGGTTGCTTTCACTCAGGGGACAAGACGAAGGACAACAGGGAGCCGCCACGGGGTCCTAACATCACTCGGGGTTTTCGTCTACCCCAGCCTGTTACCCAACGTGTATGTGGTTGGGTGTGCCATTTACTGTCCCCACATATGCGTGTTTACCAGCCTTTGGGCCCTACCCACCAGGTGCATCCCTTCACAGGTGCAAGACTCCCCTTGCCAACCGAATCCCAGCTCCTTGAAGGCATTTGACACCTGATGGTACTAAATGCTGTCATTAACCACTCACCACGCGCCAGGTGGTGTGGTAAGGCTTTCGTGCCTACAAGGATCTTGGCAATGCTGTAAATCTCAGAGGCTTGAGCTTTGCCCAAGTTCACCTGCTAGTAAACACAAGAGCAGGCTGGTTTTTTTCTTACTGTGTATCATACATAGTCCCCATCTGGGAAGTAAGTCATTTTATCTGTATTTACAACTCATGGGATATTTTAGAGAGTTTGTCAGGACATGATTTTTTTTAAGATGTATTTTTATTTATTTGAAAGCCAGAGTTAGAAAGAGAGATCAATCTTCCAACCACTGGTTCATTCTCCAATTGGCCACTATGGCCAGGGTTGGGCCAGGCCAAAGCCAGCAGCCAGGAGCTTCTTCCAGGTCTCCCACATGAGTTACAGGGGCCCAAGCACTTGGGCCATCTTCTGCTGCTTTCCCAGGCACATTAGCAGAGGCTGGATCAGAAGTGGAGCAGCCGGGACTTGAACCAGCACCCATATGGGATGCTGGTGTGACAGGCAGTGGCTTAACCCACTACACCACTGCACAGGACCCAAGGATGTGAATTTTTGACATGGATAGAAAACATCTCTAAGTAGAATTACTAAAGAAAAGCTTTTTAAAAAAAATATTATTTATTTGAAAGGCTGAGTTAGAGAGAGAGAGAGAGATTGATCTTCCATCAGCTGGTTCAATCTTCAAATGGCCACATCAGTCAAGGTGGGGCCAGGCCAGAGCCAGGAGCCAGGAACTTCTTCTGGGCCTCCCACGTGGGTGGAAGGGTCCAATTACTTGGACTATCTTCGACTGCTTTCCCAGGCACATTAACAAGGAGCTGGATCAGAAGTCAAGCAGCCAGGATACGAACCAGCACCTAAATGGGCTGCTGGCGTCACAGGTGGTATCTTAACCCACTACACCGCCACAATCAGCCCCTAGAGAAAACGTTGTAAAGCGAGATGAAGAGTGAGATGATTTGAGACGCATGTCAACCAGGACTTATCAAAAGTGGTTCTGATAAAAGAAAAATAAGAAAGGAAGGAGTAGCAAGGGAGGAAGAGTAGGATGGGAAATGTCATTATGTTCTTAAACCTGTGTGTATAAAATACAAGAAATGTGTTCCCTTCATGTACATAAAAAGGTGGTTCTGAAAAGCACTAGTGTCTCTCCCAATAGTAAGAGCTATTCTAACTAGGAAGATCTTGTGTCCAGTAGGCTCAGCCTACTGCACCCTGGGCACAGGGCAAGGCCTTTGAGAAGTCCCATACAAGTTCCTGAAGAAGCCTGTCCAGCTGTGCCGTGTGCAAAGTCCTTGGACCACGAAGCCACTGTTAACACACCCTTTGCCATCTCGCGGATACTGCTTGTATGCGGAACACCGTGGAGAGATGCGCCCGACTGGCACGGTAAAACCAGATGGAGCGAGGCGGAAGGGATTTGCTGCTGGACCACGTCGTGTTTGGCTGGCCTCATGCGTCTCGGACCGGGAGCACCTGTCCAGCAGAGCTCTTCGTTGAATAATCCGCCCTAGGACTGGCATTCTTCCAAATTCAAGGTTGAGGTTATCTCTGCCACCTGTAGCTTCGCAGGGTGCATGTCTCTGTCTCTGAACCTTCTCGGGAACGTGTGAGTATTTGCAGGACCAGGGCTTGATGATGAGAGGCAGCGTCAGAGGCGACATCTCATCTCGTCGTCTGGGTTGATGGCATTTCCCAAACGTTGGCCCAGGAGCTCGGCATGTGTTACAGAAAATAAACAGAGCATCTTCTTATCCTCCCAAGCTTGTGGGTGCAGCCCGGAAGCTGCTCCCTGGGACGGGTTCCGGGGATTGTTCTCTGTCGATGGTGAGCGAGTCGCAGCCACAAGGGGTCGGTGTGACGTGGCGCCAACGGAGAAAGGCCCCAGGGCGTGAGAGACAGCCGCACCCGCTTCCCACCGCTGCCCTAATGAAGCGCCGCAAACCAGGTGGCTTCAAGCCCCAGGCCCTCCACTCAGGAGGCCAAGCTCACGGAGGCTGCAAGGGTGGGTCCTCTGGAGGCTTCGTGGGAGTCTGTTCCGGGCCTCTCTCTGGCGTCCGGAGTTACTGTCAGTGCTTGGAGTTCTCTGTGGACGGATCACTCATTCTGGCCGTGGGTTGCAGAATCTTATCCCTGTGCACCTGTGTTCCTGGGCCCTCACCTCCCTGCTCTTACGGAGGCACCAGGACTGGACTTGGAGTCCTTGC